CGGAGAGGGACCGGACGCGTAATATCGCGTCCACGTTCGACCGTCCCTTCCGGAAGCCGTATTGCTCCTTGTTGAGCGTTGGACTACTCCGGGATAGGTGCTGGACGAGGCGGGCGTGTATTATCCTTTCGAATAACTTGCCCGCCTCGTCTAATAGGCATATCGGCCTATACGCGGAAGGGCTGTCCTCCGGCTTGCCCCCCTTTCTGAAGAGTACCAAATTGGCCCTCTTCCAGGGGCTGGGGAACACTCCGGTCCTCATACAGAAGGTGAAGAGCCGCATTACTCGACTCTTCACCTTCGCCTCCTTCATCGCCAAGGCCCACACTGTGTCTGGGGTGCCGTCAGAGCCCGGCGCCCTTTTCTTGGCGCCGAGTTTCCTGACAGCCCTGTCCATCTCCATTTCGGTGACCCCGACCGTCTCTTCCTCCCCGTCCGGACCTCGTAGGGGGGAATACAAGCTTCCCCCCATGGAAAGAGGGCCCCCACCACTTCATCGAGGAAGTCGGGGTCCAGGGACACCGTTAGAGGGAACGCCCAATTACGCAAGCGTCTCATCACAATGTGATAAGGGCGCCCTCATGGGTCCCTGTCGATGGTGGAGACCAGGTCGTCCCAGGCACGGGCCTTGGCCGTAAAGATGGCCGCTTTGGGGGCACCCCGCTTTTGGCGGTACGCCCCCTCGGCGACCATCCTCCCCTCGCTATTCTTTCCACGCCGGTCCATCTCTCTTCTGGCACGGCCGGCGGAGCGCCGAAGTTCAGCTATCTCCACCGACCACTAGTACACGAACTGGCGGTGATGCGGCCGGGATCTGGGTATGGCGGCATCACACGCCACCGTCATCATGCCCACGATTCCGGCCGCCTCAGTCTCGATGGCGGCCCGGGTCCCCGGTGTAGGGCCCGGGTCCGCCCATGTGACCGCCATTAGGGCGGCTGCCAGCCTGTCGCGGTCGACCTTGCGGAGGGCCCATTTTGGTGATCGGGCACCCCACTGGCCGCGCCTGAGGAGCACCTCCTCGGGGGTGGCGACCAGTCGGACCACGATGTATCTGTGGTCCGAAAGGTTTTCACCCCTAGTCACCACCCGCTAATCCTGGATTAGTCGGGCCGCCTGGGGAGACGCTAGTGTGACGTCGATCACTGATCTCCCCCGCGGCCCGACGAAGGTGCTCCTCCGGCCTCTGTTGATCACACAGAGGCCATGAGACGCGACCCATTCTTCCATTACCTCGCCCCTTCGGCACCTGGCCGAAGACCCCCACAACGCCAACTTGGCGTTGAAGTCCCCGTCCACCAGAACCGGCGCCTCGACGTGAGGTCTCCCAGCCGGCCCAGAAGGTGCTCGAAGTGGGCGAGGTCCTACGAGGGTGGGGCGTAAATCCCGACCACATCTAGGGCTTTCCACTCGACCGCGACGTAGCCTCTCCCCCTCTCCACAAGGGAGATTGGGGGAGAGGTCTCTCCTTCCTGGTGGTAGATCGCCACCGAGCACTTGCCACCCCGCCCCGCAACGTCACTCATTATGGCTGGGTGACTCCTGGGGACGGAGTGAGGCTCGGAGGCGATCCCCAGTCCAAAACCGCGCTCGCGGTAGGACTGCATAAACAGTTCCTCGGCTCCGCGAGCGCGGTTGAGATTCGCCTGGAGGAGGCGGGTAACCATTATGGCTTAGCTCCGCACTCTTCCAGGTCCTCCCCTATCTTCTTCGCGGGAGAAGGGCCCTCGACTTTTTTTTTTTTTTTTTTTTTTTTTTTTTTTTTTTTTTTTTTTTTTTTAAGCCAGGGGAAATGCCTTACGCATACCCACAGCCTTCGGGGGGAGACCGCGGGTTATGTGGGGCTCCTCCCCCGCCGAGAAAGTCGGCGGGGACCCTACCCACTAAAACACCTGGCGGGTCCGTCCTCAGCGGTCATCAGGGGGCCCGCGGGGACCACTTGCGTATTACTTCCGCGGACCCCCTCCATGGTCCAGAGGACCCCTCCCGGACCGGGGGTAATAAATCACCCCCGGTCGCGCTCCTCCCGAGCAGCGGCGCGGTGCGACCCAACACCGCGCCACCTCCCTCCCGGGCCGCTATGGTTGGAGAGTGCGCCCCCGCACACCCCCCAAGCGACTCGTATGGGAGAGGGGGGACCGGTGTAGGCGGAAGTTTCCGCCCGACACCGACCCCCCTCGACGCCAGCCTGATGTTCGGCCGGCGCCGTGGCCCCGGTCTAGGTGGTCAGACCGGGGCCCTCTCCTCCGGCCAGATCCCGGGATAATATCCCAGGATCCGCCATCACGCCTCCCGGAGAGGGGCCGGAGTCGGCCGCATTCGGCGGCCGGCCCCTGCGATGCCCCGGCGGCCTTCCGCCTGCCGGAGCACCACCCCCCATCGGGCACTCGGGACCACCCAACCTGTGGCCCGAGTCCCGGCCATCCTCGAGACACACCGCGCAGGCCGCACTAGCTGTGCAGGCCCGCGCGGTGTGCCCGGCCCGGCCACACCGGTAGCACAGCCCGCTTCGGTCGATTGACACGGAGCAGGCCGCCCGGATGTGGCCGAGCCGCCAGCACCGGTGACACTGGAGAGGTCGGGGAGCGAGCATCACCACCCGCGCT